GAGAGAGAGACATTTCTCAAGTCTTTCCCTGCCTTCTCACCAGCGCCTGGCCCACGCCCTCCGCTGCCATGTACCGGTGAATGGCGCTCTGCTGTCACGCGCATGTGCGGCGGAGCGAATTTTAAATATACATACTAACTTTGAGCAATTTTTTCGCACCCTTACAGAGCGCATCAGCAGCTAACATTTTGTGTACAATCATTACTAGATGGGCTCTGTAGATGAGCAAAATTTCAGGTGAGGTTTCGGCATGACCAACCTAACCATTCCCTTGTGAGAGCAGACTGACACTGCGTGGCATACGTACGACATGACTTTTTCTCTCTGTTCCGTCTTCCACCAAAAATAACAAACTTGAAAACAATTAGCTTTCAGCACCAACGACCTTCCTCACTGTCGACTGATGTCCGTCGTAACATCTGTAGCTTGACAGTGCCAAAGCTGAGGTCGGTTTCTCACTGCGAAGACCCGGGCTCGCTCCAAGGGAAGTCCATATGGACATTGTGGTGGATAAAGTTGCATTGAGACGGGTTTTTTCAGAATCATTCGGATTTTCCCTGCCATTGTTATTCCACTTCCGTTGTATAGTCTCTCACGCATTATGTTAGTAGGTCACTTCCATATAGACATATTCTCGCACCAAAGCCTGCAGGTTTAAATTGTTCCCCTGAAAAAGCCAATAAACGTCTACATCTGATAAAAATAACCATGGCTGTTAGCCAGTAGTAGACGGCGGGGTTACCAATGCAAACCATGGCAACTGTTACAATAACTTACGCATATCAAACACATTCAATTATAAAATTATCCAATTAATACATAAGATCAGAGACAATCTGTCTGCATAAATATCACTGTTTTACAAAACTTACTGCGTCTCTTGGCACATTTCGATCGTAATTCGCGACAGGGATTGAACTATCATTATTTTAGATACTGAACACTTCAGGTTATATTGATTTTATTACATTTCGTGGGGAAAAAACCATATATTAACTGTGTTAAAAGTACAATGTTAACTAATCGGAAATATGTTAAAAAGATGAATTGATACTACTAAACTTTACTTCTTGTTGTCAGACTAAATGACTAGGTCCCTACCCAATGCTCTCACATAAAGTTTTCAAATAATAATGAAAAATGATGAACACTCATTGAACCTGCGAAAAAGACATCCTTGTACTTTTACTGTTTGAAGACAACTGACTGGAGCGAGCAGATTACAACATGACGTGGCCTGCGTAAGCCCTTGTATATTTACAGCGATATTGTGTGATTATTAATCCAATCGAACTGTACTGAATTGCAAATATCACTAAATACTTTAATAAAGGTTTCGTGATTTTTCCATCACTCTGTATAACAATAATGCGGTAATGAGAAAAATATTCTACAAAACTAGATTTTAACTTTGCCGGTACACACTGAACACTGGATATCCGACCTATGCCGTTTGATTAGTTGTTCGCGTAATAACGAAAATATTATTTGTAATATGGAAAATAATTCATTATTGGAAAAGTACAAAACGTGTTAACCGAGTATTTGTTGGATCACTTTAAATGCATGTAAAATGTTTATATTTCATCAAATAATCGAAAACAATATTATTGAAACTTCTGTTTTCTTAAGTTAACAGTTTGTATTTACAAATCTACCATTTTAATTACCATTTGCTTGCATTATGATGACAATGCATTGCGCTATTTTGATATTTGCTTGCATTATGATGACAATGCATAACATAATAAATGCTTCCATTTATTTTAAATGCTCATAATTTACTACTTTACTGGCCTGCCTTACCTAAAAGATGTAGCAATAAATAATGGAATATTTATAGCTTACATAGCGTCGATCCCAAGAAAAAAGACAGTATTTTTGCAACCAAGAAGCATATTTCCGTCTTATAAATCCGATAAGAAACTGAAGTCTGGCAGCTATGAAAATGCCTTGCGATCTTTCTACTGTAGGAGCGCTCAGTGGAAACCTGGACACGCACTTACAAGTCTACGTATTTATTCATATTACACCTGACGGACAACGCCTATTAAAAAACTCTGTCAGAGAGCTTGAGATTCCAGAGAAGTTATTTCAGGCATGTCAATTGTGAATACACATTCTAAGAAGGTAACATGACATTCCACCAATCTTCTCAAATAAAATGTTTTGGTGTAAAATTATACAGAGTGATGCCAAATACGACAAACATGAATGACTCTGCGAAAGCCATGCGGAATACATACATTTTAGCAGAGAAACACGTTAAGTTGTGAGCTGTTAGGACATTAAGATTTAGGAGGGCAGTGGAATGCGAGGATATTGACTGGATTCAACTGACATATGAAATTTAACACACCACCGAGTCTTCGAGTTTCATGAAAGTTGGGAATTTCCTTGACAAAGAAACCTTTCAGCTTTTCAAGGAAATGTTTGTGTCATGGAGTTTGTTATACGATGCTATTGTATGTGAATACGATCTTCGTCACCTAATGCATAAATTATAACGGTACATCCGATGTTAGTTTCAACAGAGAACTTCAGTCACTGGATGTGAGTAACTGATATTCTGGTACCGTTTCATTCCAGATAATCATCATGAATAAGGAATGTAAACAGAACTGAGAAGTAGACTAACTTAACAAGGTAACCTAATAACAATTGGTTATAAATCCTTCTCTGTTGTTAAATACGTTTACCGAGTTTTTACTAAAATATCGCCACTAAGATTAAGTTAATAAAAATGACAAAATACTGCACTTCATTAATAAAATTACATTATTTACATGTGTAAAACTTCTTTGAACAATGTGCATGAGATAAACGCAAAATGGCAAATTGCCCCTCATCGCAGAAATCGATATTAGAATTTCTATTAAACTTTTACTGATGATATACAGTAACTTAAATGTAACTTTGGTATGTGCCCGTCAGTTATAACCTCTACTTACATGAAATATCATCGTATAAAACATTATCACAGAACATGAACGCAGAACTAACGTCCGCTACTTTTATTTGAATAATTTGTTCATGTGGTGAAATTTTGACGAAATTTGAAAACTAATTTCTGACTACTGACGTACATATTTGTAGCTGATTTGCTACGCAACAGCGGTTTTATAGTATAATAAATAAACATCATAATCAGGCAGACAGAACTCTAGTGAGACATTTGGAATTATGCCTTAGTAATATCACTGCAGATCATGCTACGTTAATTCGCTTAAAAATTCACAGGATACTTTTCGGGTTTAACTGGAAAATTTTGGGAAAATTGGAAGCATAAAAATTAGTTTGTTTGTTCATTTGAATGCATCCGTATTCATTTTATTTCTGCAACATACCATACAAGAGAGAGCGAATTATTTGTTTGTTTTTGAGATGTCAAACTCAGGAATAAATATTTTAATATTAATAAAAGAAGTCATTGCTAATGTGCATATATTCTTAATTTATAACTATCATTATATAACTATTTTGTAAATATTTACAATTACAATCAAGTAATTATAATGGTAATTAAAATACAGGATTATTATAGACTGTTTTTAATTTTAAAACACTGCTTTCGTATAAGACTGAGTTAACATCAGCTCTATAAAACCTCAGTATACCATTAGGATAGTCGTCGAATTGCTGCATATCTTTATTAAAAACCAAAATATGATGTACACACAATGCTGTCAAGAATGTATACAAGACTACAGTTTTTAATAAGATACAGACTAAAGCAACCTTCAGTTTCCTTCAATGTTATTTCCTTCTGCAAAATCTTGATGAGCCTTTCGCCTAAAACGTTCGCTGACCTCTTCAGATGGTGTTTCAAAAATATCTGTCCATGTCTCACAAGGGAAATAGAACTGAAATCAGAAAAGAATGTAATTAAAATACACGTGAATTATAATCACCCGTTTTATTTTCGAATACATATACGTTTATTCATGTCATCATCTGTAGCGTGTTTTGTAGCAATGACTGCCGTCCATTTAGAGTGTAACGCACACTGCGGATAGAGGCTGCGAAAATATAGCTGTTATCATGATTTGATTATTTAAGGGGTCATTCCGGATCAGATCATTCTCGCGAATCCATTTATTTGTAGGTTATATAACGACACTTTTAGTGGCTTAGACAAAAGGCGTATAGCATCGTAGGATTTGAGTTTCTCATGGCGGCTATTATGAAGTTGGATGTATCTTGGTTTGTAGAGCAGAATAATTTGGTAGAAGTTTGCTGCCGTTTCAAAGGTACCTGCTGCCTCCATCAACACCCTAAAACGTCGGCAAACTTATATTAGACTACAGGACCCTACAACCCAGAAGACATCCATCTTTATATATCATCGCATGAGATAATGAACAATGTAATGTAAAGGACGTAGAAGGAAGCAGGTGTGGCCTAATTTAAGTTACCGGTAGCCTACGAGTTTGGAATTCGCGTGGAGAGACTGAATAGAACCTCCAAAAACTTTAATCAAAATAGCCTCTCTCTGGGCAGATACTTGAATCCGGGACTTACCAAATAAACAGAAATGGTAACCACTAATCTATGACTTTCGGTTCTTCGCATGTTATTCGACGATGAATGACATAATTTAAGTTGATATGGTGTCGTTAAATATTTTATGATCCATCATTTACATTTCACTGAAAATAAGAGCTGTATTGCTGTAGGAATGTCATGACAGTGATTGAGCAAAATTTAAAATGTGTTGTATCGCCTTATCGCACGAAGCTGAAGTTCGTGTCCGAACTTACTGCGACTGACTTACGAGGTGCGATCGGAAAGTTTCTAGACTGCGCCTATAAAAACCCGTACACTTATCTCAGGTATTAAATTCATCCATCACCCTCGAAGTAGTTCCCCGGGGAGTGAACACAACGATCCCAGCGAGGCTGCCAAGCCTGGAAGCATCCCTGGAAATCTTTCTTTCTCAGCCTGTCAAGCACCATCTGCGATTCTGCCTGAATCTCTTCTATCGTCTCAAATCTCCTTACCTTTAGCTGAATTTTCATCTTTGGGAAGAGGAAGAAGTCACACGGAGCTTAAAAAGGAAGTTGGGGTCGGTTCTTGCAAGATCTTTGAGCTCCTGACAAACGAGAAGTCAAGGCGATTCTGCTTCTGGTCCTCAGACAGGATGCGTCGCATGTGGAGTTCTTCCTTTAGAATCAGCTGACAGGCCCCATAGCCTATCCCAACAATGTCGCACAAGTCGTTGATGGTACGACGTCGATCTTCGTAACATTTTCGGGCGTTGTGCTCGAAGATGGTCGTCCAGAACGCTCGTCATCATCGACAGAGGTTCGGCCATTTTTAAAACGTGAATGCCACACAAAAGTTGGTGCACGACCCATTGCGGACTCCCCAAATGCTTGCTTTAGCATTGCATAGGTTTCCGTAGCCGTTTTGGCGAGTCTTTGGCAAAATTTGATGCACACGCCATTCCGAAATCGCAGGAGGGTCGGTGTAATGCACTACCAAAACGCCCGTAACTAAGAAACAAATGCTAATTCGATGATGCCGGCTGGCACACTGATTCACTATGAATGTAGGCCGCACCCCCTAGCGGCAGAAGCTCGTACTACATCCGGTTCGCACTCTATTGACACAGTCTCTTTCCGATCGCACCTCGTATATTTACAGGCAGGCTGCACTTTCACTAAATTGTGTAAAAGTTAAATGACGAAACTGGTCCTTGAGCAATTTTCTCATTTTATCAGCTTGGATTTGTCACCAAATTTCAGCTCAAATTTTTTTGCAAGTTAAGGTAAAGGTAAAGTTATCTCTGGTGTTTGGTGAACCCCACATAATGAAAACTCTATGGAGGCTGTTTGGGCCCCAGATTCCACATGGATGCAGTGGCTGAGTGATGGAATTGTGCCTCTGCCTAGATTCGAATGCGACCCTCAGAATCTACGTTGGTCACTGTACTAAGCTACCCCAACTCTATTTCACATACCCTTAGCTAATTTGCATAAATTAATCACAACACTCACTGTTACGTTCTGCAAGTTCATCATAGCAGTAGTCATTTTGTTACGTAATTCATTTCTTCTGTGTTGTGTAACTGTGGTCATAAAATGTGCAACTCACTTTTCATTATTATCTCTTCCCTGCAGATATCATTGGACCTTTCGTAACTATCTGCGAATTTAACGAAAAGTATCTGGAAATTTTTAATTTTCAAAATTTGTATACGGACGATTTTAAAACTTTTGTGGCAGTGAGAGGGTTTCTTTCGATATTGTCTCTCTTTGGATAATTAAACGTACGACGTATCCGTCTTCACCTAGATAAGATCTTGTCTAATGAGTGTATACGCGAATTCATTACACGACTATTTATTTTTATAATATTGAATTCCCTCGTCGTATTACTCTATGCACGCGTTCACAACGACGTTGGAAAAGTGCGTCCATTAACTTCACCATGTTTATCTGTTTGCTTCTAACAATTCAATAACTGCTGTACGGATGTTTATGAAATTTTATGTTGGGGAAATTTATTACAAATATTTGGCATGTTCCAATTCTGCTCAAAATCGGACTACTTCTTACGTGAATGCCTAAATGTGTTTCTAACCTCATCTCAGCTTAACTCGCTAAATATTAGTTGAATAAAAAGCACTTCGGACTAAAGCTGTATAAAAATTAATAACATGTTTTACGCCCAGTACATTTCTGTCGTAAGTCGTAAGGTTTTCGGAAATAATTATACTAAAGGAATTATTATGCATTCTTTGCTCGTCCGCTATTTGTAACAGAGTACAGAAGTTGGCGTTAACAGATTTAAAATATAGAGCTAACAATGGTGCGAAGACGCCAGATTTGTTAAGCTATGCCTATATTTTCTGGTTTGTTGTAAATATTTCTGTCTACAATTATTTTACTCGTAGTTTCATTTAACACGCCACGGTTAATGGTTACTCTTCTGTTGTTAACTTCTGCCAAGATTTTCTAACCGACCCAATGAAGTAGGAACCAGTGAAAAAACGGAGAATAAATAAAGAAATATAAGGCTGACGCGGGGAGACAAAGATACAGAGATGGGGAATAATTGGAGAAAAGAGTGGGTAATAAGAAAAATGTGGTACGAGAAGCAGGAAGAAGAGAAGGAAAAAGAAGTCCTTTCTTGCCGTTTCTATTTCTGGAATGTTAGGAAACTATCCTTGTACTGAAATGTTCCTCTCCTCTTTATAGTACTTGAGTTTTATATGACTTCCCATATTCATGGTACAGTGTCTGCGAAATTTTTCTTTATAATGCGTGGTTTTAGGTTCAGCATGTGTACGCAACGTATATTTGTGATATAATTTGTCGGCTCGTCCCTCTGCCAATCTTAAATCTACAAAACAACTAAACGAATAAAAAAATTATATTAAACTGTGTTGGATGTTCTTTGGCTAATTTAATTCCGGTCCGTGTCGACCCCTTTTGTGATTGCAGAGCAGACTGGAGTGTGACGTGACTGTATTTTGAACTGTTGAAGTAACAGATTTTAAAATAGCATGTTTCCAGAAGTTATTTGCCTTCGCTAGCAATGAGTGTATTTGTGTATTTAAATTAGAAATGCTCAATTTTAAGAACCGTTTATTCCACCTTTTAGTACATTACTGACCTTGGTAGAGATCTGTATTTAATAAGCTAATCACACTACAGAGAGCAAGTCATAAGTTATGTTCCGACGTAGTTCTCTCATATGCCATGCACACCGTATCGACAAAATTTAAAAAATACCGAATATAATGTTCCACTTTTCTTTATGACAAACTATTTTTAAGAAATTTGGTGATATTTGACACTGAACCTGTAAAAACCAAAAACCAAATGTTCCCGACAACTTTCAGTATAGATTCCTAATGTCAAATTTAAACAAAATCCGTTCGAATTCGGAGATTAGATATACAGATGAATAAATTCCACTGTGATCTCCCCTTTATGTTTCAGTTTGCTCACTTATACCAATGGTTCCAAAAATATCCATCATATGAGAAAATCTAAACGACACTCTTCAGACGTTTAGTTGTATGAAGACAAAATGAAAATATTACATAGTTTAGAGACGCGATGCTAACCTTCGTTGCAGCCGTGCAGTTCTTGCAAATTCCTATTAGGACAATTGACACTTGCGTACTTGCTAAATGTGCAAATGAAAAAAGAGTCAGGTGTTTAAGTAACAATTCTCTACTATCTGCCTATGTTAAACTGATCTTTTGTCACTACGGCATGGCGTTTCGTTAGGTTGCGGATGAAGGAAATTTCCTCTAGATATGGAGAGTAAATGCAAATGTATTGAATAATAAGTCGCGGACAGCCGACAATGAGTGGCCCTCAATAATCCTTGTTGGCCTGGGAGATAAATAGTCCTCACCGCAAATCATGAATTGTTACAGGACAGGACAGAGGACCTCGGACTTATTTGAATCCTTTGAAACGTCTGTCTGCATAAAACAATGTTATTCGCTAAAGACTTAACGTTTCTGGGAGATTAATTCGTCTGATTTCAAGCATGAAGCGTAGAACTGTGGTTCAGTGCGCAGTGTTGTCAACTTTCAGTATATCTAGGCGCATATACTGTTGCTCTAAAATTTCAATATAAATCAGACTTTCAATTCTGTAACCTTGTAGTTGTGTTGTAGCGGCGTGACGAACCGTCATTCATCCGGCAACGATTGTTTCACTTCTCACTTTGTAACAATTATTGCTATTGGGCAACTAGTAGTCACCCTCCGTCTGACACAGTTCAGTGTACTGGACAGAGAAACCCATGGAACAAACACAACAACAGTGAATCAAGCCTCCATTTACCTGTTGAGGGTTGCGCGCTCCAAGGAGGAACCTGATCCTTTGCAGTTGGCTACAGGGGTTGGAGATGGCAGAGGACTCATCTGTATTCTGAAAAAGTCTTTCTCCGGAAGCAGATGAGGGGATGAGCATTTGTGGAGAAGGCCCTGAACGCTTACGTCCGTTAGTCCATCCTCTAGAGTACTGAAATGTCTGGGCTAAGATGGAGCCGGTTAGACAACAGAAGATAAGAAGAAGTCCGGTCATCCTGGAACGACACCGGGAAGACGAAGCAGTGCTGTTGAGATGCATGGCGTTTTCAATACCTAGCGGACCTGGAAGTGAAATAATACATATTTCAATGACTGTTCTCATTTGCCTGTAAATGTGGTATGAAAAGTAGAGACTACGTTGAATTTATCAAATGAAGACATGACTCAACAACAAGCAAACTGACTAACCAAATAAACCGTCCAATAAACAAACTAGCCGACTGATTAGCTAACTATGCATAAAAAGTTAATACACCAACGAAGTCAGAAGTTCGTAAATAACTAAGTCACTATCAGAGATTTTAGGTTCTTAGGGCGGTAAAGATATCAATTTTGGTCTTCTGGGTTGTGAAGCCGTGTAGACTTGTAGGTGATTACGAACGTTGCTGATCTTGAGATATGTTTATCCACCTGAATACGGATGCTAGCCATTCTTCCATTCCTACAAGACTACACGGCGTCAGAAACCCAGAAGACTACTATCACAATCGAATATTGATCACCTTACTGACCAAGAAACTAACAAACAAATTTCCGGTCAGATATCCGGCAGGTAACAATTATTCAGATGGCCATCCCATTTCATATTATGAACCCAGAACTGGTGTTAACTCTGTTCACAAAAATGGCCAAAACCACTTCAGTGTAATTTAAAGCTAGCTGATTCGATTGTTTCTTCCGTGGTTTCTGTTTCCCAAGTACAATTTCGAATATAATTCTTCTAATAATATTGTATATAGCGTAAGTTAATTCTGCAGGAGACGAATATCATTTAACAGTATTTCAAAATTTTAACCCCTTCTCTAACAAAAAACACGCCTCTTACAAAGATTAGTCTGCTGAAGCGTGGAGGAAATATTCAACTGTTTATGCTGAGAAGCAGGTGACTCCAATAAACAAGCCCTGCTTGCGAAATGGTGAGTTATATCTCAGCCCTGAGTTAATTTCTTGGGTTATTTTGAGTCACATGAATTGATAGATGACAGAATAGTGATGAATGTCTGATATGGAGAAGTGTCCAGACAATTCAAGTTTACGTGTTTTTATTTAACACAGAGTACGTAAAAGCTTGAAAGTAGAAAAATGGACGCTACCCCTTTTGATTGGACTAACACGCATATCCTGAAATAAATAAAAATGCACAACACCTTTTAATTTTATACTATCCAGATCCTGAGAAGAATAGAAATGCGACTGTCCACTATGACGTTGAAATACACAACTGAGAGTACTTTAATCATTCAGTCGCACTGATAATGGAGGCAGCAAGTACTTCTGAAACGTTGGCAAACTACTACCAGACTACATCGCGCTCGCAGTCGCGAAAGCCTCAAATCCTACAGTAAATTACAAGTTAACCAACTTCATAGAACCGAGTTCTTCTTGCGAAGCGAATAGTCACTCAGCTAATTAAGACATTTTCCGTCGTTTATGGAACCGAGAGGTTCATTACCGTGTCCAGCCACTTCTCCTTATGCTTGGTTCTTAGGTCATCCCAATTAATCCGTCCCAGTTCGAGGACCTTTGTAACATTTCTTAACATGTTCTCTGCAATGTGAAGAGATTGTTGTGCTGTCCTGTGTACAGATAAGAGCCTTGCGACGGGCCGATCCCTCGTCCATGGAGTGCTACCGAATGTCTATAGATCAAGCCAAACGAAAAGTTTGGACCTGCAGTGCTCAGGCACTTGAAGAACAGGTCGTTCCCAGTATCCCAGTATCCAGTATCCAAGACAGTGCGAGGTACAGACTGTGGGGAGAAAGCGATCTACGCAAACCCCCCTCCCACCATGTAACATAACATTATAAAAGATTGTATAAGAACCCTGCTTTTCTGAAATACTTTACAAAGTCACCAACTTCTTATTTTGTAGAAGGAACTACTTAATTAGAATCTAATACTCAAGAAGATCTTGCATATGCACAAACGATACTCACACAGAAATTATTTAAAAATTCTGCGACATCAAATACAGTTAACTTTTCCACTATTGTTCAATACGTATCCTGAATTTCTTCACCGCTACATAAAACTTAAATCATTTTGTGTTCCAGTACAGTTCTATTAATGCAAATACACCGTGTTTCAAAAGTAGCTTTACAACTTCGCAGGAGAATATAAATTTATTTAAGGGACATGTGCAATATTTTTAAACGCGCAAATTTAGCCAAACACATAAAGTTTCATTCATATAAACTGTAGTATCGAAAACCGCTACAGCGAGCGCTCCCGACCAGTGTGTGGCCCCTTCTTTTTCATGGAGAAGACCATTACTGGCATTGTGTATCTGGACATGCTCCAACAGTTCCTCATTCCTCAACTTGACTAAGATGTCCAGGAAGGACTCATTCGCTTCCAGCAAGACGGTGCACCCCCTCATTACCTAGGAGAAGTGTGCGAGTACCACAACAACTGTTTCCCAGGTCGGTGGATTGGTCAGGCCGTACCAATAGCATGGCCACCTTGTTCCCCGGATCTAACACCTTTAGATTTTTTCTTGTGGGGATTTGTTAAAGATCTAGTGTACGTGCCACCCTTACCTGCAAATGTGGCCGAACTCCGAACTCGAATTACCGCTGCAGTTGCTGAAGTGACACCGGAGATGCTACACCGCGTGTGGCAAGATATTGACTACAGATGGGTCGACTGCATAACAAATGGAAGTCACATTGAATCATAAAAATCCGATGGACATAAAACTTGAAGTGTTTGACTACATTTCTATGTTGTGAAATTATATATTTCTCCTATTAGTTCACCAATATCTCGCCCTCAAGTTGTAAAGCTACTTCTGAAACACGCTGTACATTTATATTTATTCATTTATTTCGTATTATGGTTCATATATCCTGCAAGAGGATTTGGCAAAATAAAGGTATATTGTTGGAAAAATCATACTTGGGAAGTAATATATTATGTTGCTTTTATTTCCTTAAATATTCACTATACAACGTCCCGCGCCGTAGCCGCGCGGCCTGAGGCTTCATGCTTCGGACCGGCGATGCAGAATGAGCACTGGTTCGAGTCTCGGGGGAGAAGAAATTTTCTCATGAGCTTTCGACCGTGTATGGGACCGGTGCCAACCCAGCATCGTGAGGAAATTGGGGAGCTACAATGGGTAGCGTAATCCGGTCATGAAAACTAGCAATGGCTAGGGGTTCGTCGCGCTGACCACACGTCACCCTATATCTGGTTGGATGATCGTTCACCTCTGCTTAGGCATGTGAACGTGAGGTCAGCAGTCAAGCTAGTCGGCTTTGGCTCTCTGGAGCTGTTGCGCCACGGATTTAATTTTTAATTCACTATACAACATGTTTAAATAATTATTATAGATCGTAATTATGTATGTGTTTTATGAAATGCATCATTTCTTTGTGCAGTGATAAGTTTAGGAGAAAATTTATAAAACTTGTCGAGTAAAGTGGGGATTAAACAAAGTTCTAATTTGGTACAGACTTTTAAGTAAACAATTATATTTAAAACCATTTATTAATTTATGAGATGAAACGTCATAACGAATGGAAAGAAAAGCCACTACTAATATATGTTTATTTTGTACACTTCATAAAAATGACGCATAAAAACTGTATTTTAAGTGAACGAATATACAACTCTCCTTTGTTCGTGCTCTTTGATGTCCTAGCAGCATTAACATTAAATGAGATGTGAACCCAATGTTCTTATAATATATAGCAACATTAATTTTTATTTGAAGGAGGTAATGTTAATAATTTCTATCCTGCAATTTGATCAAAGGGTTGCATAGGTGACGTATAGTTGTCCTTTGTGTGTGTTCATGACCGCCATTAACACTCACCACGCTTCTCAAATCTCGCCTTTTTCCTCTTTGATCCTTTGGTATGAAAGATTTCGGGTGGTTCTTCTGATGACTGCATTGATTAACTTTAGTTCAAATTGTTTACTAGTAGTACCTTAAAATTCTCAGACATGACCTCAAATTTCGCACTGTCGTCCTGTTGCGTATACAATTTGCTGATATGTTTATCATCAGTAATCTTATCTATAATCAGTTTCACATGGTTTCCTACAATGGTTCATTACTTGACATATTTTTTGTATTTATGTTACGACGCGTAGTTTATATACATTACGTTAAGTGTCGCTACATACCTCAGACGTTTGAACAGGGATGTTATTATTAAATGGCAGGGATTCAAGAAACACAGAGCTAGTGGTAACCTGTAGTGGCATGATGTTCGTGTCAAGTTTCATAAAAGTTCTTCAATTTATTCAAGTATGATTTAAGTAGACATACGCAAACGGATATTTGTGACAGTATAAGTCAGTCTTCACCTTCTAAATGAAGAAAGAAAAAGCAAGATAATGTTTAAGGCGTAACAGATATTTTCTCGGATATCCGAACTTTCAGTAATAAATAAGAATAAAAACAGATATTCACCTCAAAAGCGTGAACTTTAAACGAATGGTGTGACCGTGTTTCCTTACTCTGATTAAAGATAGGATCTGCCAATAATCTAAAGAGCTTTTACGCCGTGTTCTTGTTTGTAAACGACTGCGTAGCCAATACAGGCTCCGAAGAGCGAACAGCTAGCTGTTAAAGGTTCAAACATTCATTCTCATGTAACTATGTTCGATATTGTAATTGGTTTGATATCCTTCGCAATTTCCTACCTGAGGTTAAGTGTTTCTTGTTTATTGGCGATGCTGGAAAAAGAGAGTTTCAAAATAATTACCGAGTGAGTAAGTGAAGCAGCCAAACCAAGTAATAGCATAGCCTCTGTAGTTTGCGCACACTAACGAGTATCTAAGTCTACATATGAATTCTAGAGGATAGACAAATCCTATAATGGCAAAAACAAATCGAATGTGGTGTATAACTTGAGTGAATCATAGTATCTTTAAAACCGTTACATTTTATATGAAATCCTAGGAAACAGGTTTTTTGAAGTCTAGTACAAGAGTTTCTTCTCGAATTTGTTGGTTTAATCGATCCTAGAATCCTTAAGTCACACGTTCTTTTCCACATGGGGTGTTAGTACATGGTTTAATCATCGAATTAGAGCGATTAGCTCTAAATTGTGTATCTACCGTATATAGGTACGTTTAGAGAGTTATTGTTACTCCAGGGTTTCTTAGGAACATTGTATGTTTGCGTCCAAACTATAAGAATTAACATACACATATTTCTACCACTTATTTGTGTCAAGGTATTGAATATGATTGGGATAAGATATGGAAAGAACGACTGGCGAGAAAATTGTCTGAAAACTGGCTGATTAATTCTTAGATACATAATGACGACTGCAAACGTTACTTGACGTCTAATGAGATGGGAAGATAATCAAGATTGGTGAGTAAAAATTTTGAATGAAAGACTGATGTTACATTTGGAGGTAGCATTCGCCTCGAAATGCTGACAACAAGAAAACTTCTTTCAGGACAGTAGGTAACGCATCTGAAATTCAAACCGGTTATCTGTTAGAATATAATTTTAGTGTGTTACGGCCACATCAACATGATTGGTAAACTGGATGTCACAGTAAAAGTGTTTGCTTTGTGCCAAGGTAATTTGATATAGGTCCCTTTAATATCCTTGTATACAAGTTAACTGTAACTGCTATGTTAATGAATTTATGTACTCTTATAGGCTTACTTTTAAATAGCACAAAGAAGAACACAGAAGCTCTATTAGATATTAGGAAATTGGTCTGGAAGTAGACGCAGATAAAATTAAGTTCAACTTGTGAAACTTGGTCTCTCACGTAAAGGGAAAAACGCAGATTGATGGTGTTTTAGAACAGCTTATTGAGAACAATATCTGGACCTGCGACGAATGAAGGAACAGGAGGGTAGAAATTAATAAGGACATCCAACATATTTACTCTTCATAAAATATGAAGGTGATCAAATCAAGGAGGATGAGATGGGCGGGCCATGTAGCGCGCATGTGGGCGTTGAGAAATGTGTACAAAATTCTGGTTGAAAAGGCTGAATGAATGAGACCACTTGGAAGACATAGGCGTACATGGAAGAATAATATTTAAATGTACATTAGGGAAATAGAGTTTGGATGTTGATTGGATTTATCTGACTCAAAATGGGGCCTGTAACGGACTTTTGTGAACACAGTAATGAACCTACGGGTGCCATAAAAGATTTCCTGATTAGTTGAGCGTAATATTTGCTTCTCAAGTATGACTCTTCCATAAAGTTAGTTAGTTAGACTTGCTTTAGCCTAGCCAGTAAAGTGATTAGCCATTGTAAGAACTGTCAGAGGTCGAGTCCCGGCTGCAGCATAAGTCTTCTTTTTGTTAACGCTTTGCGGCCCGTCAGCTTCCTATCAGCGTGCTATAGGCGACCTGCTTCCGATAGTACACGTGAAGACGTCTTCCCACCTCCACCCAAAGTCGAGTTTAAAAATAGCTGGGCCTATACTTCCTGTCTCCTTATAGGTACTTTTGGTATGGTGATTGATCACACAGACAAATTTAAATTTGTAGGCTTATACTTTGAAAGTCATTTGCAACAATTTAAATGTCGACGTAATATTTGGGCATTTTTATTTGCCGTTTTCCCCGTATTTTCAGTGAGTGATATTAATCAGCAAAAATTCATCAAAGTTTTGAGTTATACTTTGCGAATTAACTAACTCCTCGGAACAGTACTATCGATAAGCCACTCAACTCGTCAAGAAGTGAATCGCCTCTTATGAAACCCCCAAGTATATTACCGTGTTCTCAAGAACCCGCCACTAGACTACATCCTGAATAAGTTTAATCTACTCTATACTTTTAAATTAATGTTGTTATCCAGCTATGCTTACGTCTTCAAAGCGATATCTTTCCTTTTTCAGGTTTTGACTTCAGTTTTATTCGCGTCTCCTTCAGTCCGTGCTTATTATTTCACCAGTATCACCCTTCATCATTTGATCACCATAGCAAATGTAAGCCTATGGATTTAGTTTGAAACATGAGTCAATTAGTAAACTCCAAGTTACGAATTTTCATCGCGGTCTGAGAGATGTTAAGGATTATATATTGAATTCGTTCGATAGCAAATGCTTGATGTGAAATTTTCATGTTCCTTACAAAATACCAGTTTTATGAACTAAGAACGTGTACATTAAGGAAAAAATGTTCATGGTTATAAGCGTACACTGCGTCCCAACTCAGAAAACCACAATTTACATAAATTATTGTTATTATTCCTTGTATTAAATTAAATATCCCCAACGGGATTAGAGGACTTTTTCTCTAGCCTTTGCGTCCAGACCGGCTCTGGGGCCGAAATGGTTACCGTGGTCCTATCCCGGGGGTAAAGCGCGGCCGAGGTGTGACGCTGACCACTCACCCCTATCTAGAGCCGAGGTTAAGAATGAGTAGGAGTTATACCGCCACAACCCCCAAGAGCCTGCATGGCTTTATTTTTTATTTAATTAAATATACATTATACTAAAAATACTTAAAAAATTGTTTAGACATGAACTTCAATGTCTTCTGGAATGTTGCGCGTGTAGTCTACTAGAAATTAACTGATGTTTAGGAGTGCTTAATGCCTCCATCATCAGGGCGCTACATATCAAAAGACAGTCTCCTTCATACTGTCTGCCGTGACAACCTACAGTCTCACAAAACTTGAGGACTACATCATACATGGAATATATGTTTATAGCAACTGTTATTTTATACGATAAACCTTTTTCAACTTAAAGAGAGACCGTTTAGCATTTTCGAACATCAGTATGAGATCGAAACGTAAACGGACACAATGTCTCCATTTCTAGCAAGGAACGCACAAACATTATAACTCTGGCTATCAAAAAATAGTTACTTTTCTTAAGGCAATATTGATTTTTTTCCCAAAAGGGAGATTTTTGTTTAAAATTTCTGTTCAAATAATTGCAGCACATTGTGAAAAGAAGAGCGTGGATGATTATTTTCCCTTACCGTCGATCCTGGCGGCCTCGTGGGATCTTGGGTCGATTGCACACTAGTATTTCCGATTAGAATCCCGTTCAATGTACTCTAGATATCCACTAAATTAATCTTGAGCTATTAAATTAGTATTTTTTAAATTAATGTTTTATATAGCATCGAATGATAGGATTATTGTGAATAAATTCGAAAGGGTGTGAGTGGAAGTGGTCGCGGCCAGTATTAAGGTACTATCAGAGAATGTTCCAGTAAGGGCTGAATAAAAAATCACTAAGAGACCTCAGAATAATCGGTTTTTTGGCCTAGACGTGAATCCAGGCCATTCCAATTCACCACAAAAGCACTGTTAAGTGCATAAATATTTGTCACCTTTCGCATGTGGAGCTATGGAGGCTACTAGTAGACGCGTTGCGATGAATCAGAGTATTACTCCACGTGTAAAAGTTGTAATATCTCAGAAGTGATTAAAATTTTCAATAGTCTACCATCAAATCTCACAGTTCTTTTAAATAAAAAGCACAATTTAAACCAGCATTAAAAAGATACTTAATTACACACTCCTTTTACTCTGTCGATGAATTTTTAATGTTTACAAGTAAGTCATAATTTATCTATTGTATATAAAGGGTGGATTTATTTGTAACTTATCTCTGCTTTATGTGAACCCTTTGTTTGTATTTTTGTGACATTTATATAATAGTATGACTTGTATTTGTATAACATGTATTGTATTATTATGACTTATTCTACATCCTATTGTCATCTGACTAACTTATGGATCCATGGAATGTAATAAAGATATATGTATGTGATAAGTCTGTCTGGTTGGACGCGCTAATCCTTCTGTTAATGAGAACGTTGGTGAAAATTATCTGACCTCAGTAAAAACTTATCATGCTTTCTCAACGTTACAAATTATGTGTTAACCTATCGTAGAAAAGAAAGACAGTTTCTGTAAATGAAAACGATGCTTCGAACTTGCTTATATAAACACTTGTATAATGTATCCAGTTTAAAAATATTCTGAGATAAACTGATATGATAATTTCAGTGTTTTATTTGATATCTGTCAAAATTATCATTAACTCATAGGGTTGAAATTTCAGACCGAAGAGCGGCTATCCTGAATGAAGTGTTTATTGCTTCGTACGTTGCCTTAGTCCCTCTGACAAATCCCGGGATAGTACCTTAAATTAGGCCACGGTCCTTCCTTCCTTATCCCAAATGAATCATCCTTAATTGACATTTTTAGATTCTCCTGTGAAGAACAAAATTTTACAATATCTCGTCTGGCGAAACTTTCCTGGTCGCTTATGCGTAAAAACATTAACGCATGCATCGCAGAACGCGATGGGCATTTCCAAGACTTGATATAACTTTTTCTTCTGATTTCACTGTAATACATATGTTGACAAATATATCGTTTGTCAGGAGGATCGGTTTACGTGATTTTTCAATCACTCTGTACTATTAATATGTCAGATTCGGTAGCATTGTAAGTCGGTTCACTAAATCTATACTTTTCTTGGAATTTTCCTCGTTCAGAAAATCCATCTTAGGTTTTGTTTCGCTAGTTTACTTGTTATATATTCCAATGAACCTGACTTATAAAGATCTTGACAGTCGAAGCTCTAGATTCGTCCTTTTGCTGTTGTTTAGATTGTGTCAAAGGATCTGCTTATTCCGAGGTTCTCTGTAACATTCTGTAACACGGACTACAAGATTTCAGGTGTGTTTGGATCCTTGAGTAACGCCCATTAAATCGTGTCTTCCGTCTGTATATACGCGTTAAACAACTCGAGAAAGAATAATACGGTTCTGATTAAATTCTGTATCAAAATTTTTTATGAAGAATTGTCGAGTCATTTCGGTCTTAATTTATAAAATAATTTTAACGACCATGTAAAATATAAACACATTTTTGAGCTTGCCTGCCGGACCCGATTGTTACACTATCTAGACTACGATTTCAATCTTGTTAATTTTACTATGAAAAGTTGTTAGTCACATGCCAAAACCACAAGACTGAGGACTAATTCTCGTCCGCCATCTATGACTATTTATGCAGCATAATTTTAGCTAATTTCCGCATATTTTCTATCGACAACCCCAATACGCGCTATACCGTACTGACAAAGGACCCATTTTGCAGTTACCAAATTGTTACTAAACTATAATAATGTGCACATGTTGCCGATGTTATAGACAGTAAACATACTGAAAACACTTTTTATATTAAGTTAATGTACTGTAATGATACACAGTTTATCTTTTAATTTTCTAAAAATATTTGCGAAGGAAAAACTGAAAATGTATGTATAATCGAGAAAGGGAGAAAGACACTGATGATAAAATAGTTTCCATTTTTCACTTGAAGTGTTAGATGTTCCTGCATATAATACCGTATGACATTTTATTGATTACAAGTTTAAAAGAGGCTGATGATTTAAAACAGGTACATATCAAAACGTAGGCCTAATATATTAATAAATCAAGATTCAGTAGTTCGTATTCATTTCAGACAATTCGAACATAGTAAATCGCAAAGAAACAGTGCTGATACACCATTACGTTTGCTATAGAGTTATGTAAACAATCACTATATATTAATTTTTATAAAAATGTGTTCTTCAGACATATAAACATGCACATAAAACTTACAATAATACAGTATCATTTGTAGTCGTTTATAGTGATAATGAAGTTTTTCTGCACGTCAATGAATTATTTATTTATTAAACCACTGTTTTCAAACTAAATAAGTAAATGTAAATTTTAAATTGTCCATATATGTTCACGTTTCACGATTAAGTTATATCCCTATTACAACCAAATCTGTCTAATACTTATTTTTATGATCCCTCATTCAAGAACTTTTCACCTAATGTCGCAGCCGAGTGGTTATCCTGCAACGTATTCGGTAAGTCCCGCGTTCAAATCTCTGCCCGAAGATCGGTTATCATGGATGAGGGTTTTGTGGTTTTCCTCAGTCCCTCCAGGCAAATGCCGCGATAGTACATTAAGTTAGGTGATGACCGTTTCCTTCCATGCCCTATGAAATTCACTGCTCAGAAATCATCCTGCCATTTGATGCTATATGATTAAACCTACTGACAGCGTCTTTAAATAAATCACATATCTGAGATCAAAATTAAATATTTGTAATTCCCATATTACAGTTAGCATTTGTTGTAACCTTACCTACCTGTAAATGAAGCGAAGGAATTACGGCGTTTGCTGCCCACGTCTTGTTATCCTGAAACGTTTCTAATGTTGAGTATGTAACGCTGCAATGTTTTCAGATTATCTGCCGAACATTTGCTTCTATGGGGATTATATACCAAACTCCGGGTTTCAAATTCCATTTACCGCGCATCTTGTTTCCGTAGTCATTTCTCACCCTCCTACCCCTATCGTGAAATCTGTTGGCGCTAATAGTACCACCCCCTTGAGAGTGGGAGTACAGGCTTTTGAATAGGTTTTATTGTTGGCTGAAGTATTAATTACACTGTACAACTGGAACTTGTTTATAATATGGCGGCGGAGAAAACTAAATTATGATTCCGCAAGTACTTCTTATAGCTAACATGTATAATAAACCTATATTTATATAGTTTTTCATATTTTAAAATTAAAACACGCATATTATTAAGATTTTGCACATGTTTCATTATGGCATTGTTATAAGGATATAATTTTGGAACAAATTAATTTTTTGGTCAGAATGTATAGTTAAAATACATGTTAGTGGTCTTTGAATATATCAATTTTTGAACTGTATAACCGCAAGAAATACAAGTTTTACTTGTTAAGTAAAAGAAAAATGTAATACCAGATGTCATATTTTTCATAAATATCAACGTCCAATGTATTTAATAAATGGAAACTGCAATTGTTAATTGACCATGCAACGATTTCGAACTACCATGGCCTTAAACACAGAGAGCGCATGCGTGTCGTTTCCAGCGGTGTACGGGTTTCTCTTGTTTTCGTGATTTCGTTTTCTGACACTTTTAGATGTGTAAGGTTTATCAGGTTTTAGCTGGTGCGTGAATCATTTCTGTGAAAGTTTGTAGCTAGCAGTTTTCGAAATGGTTATTTTACAATATATTAATTGTTGTGACTTCTCGTAGCGTTTTTGTACGTATACATCAAGAATTCAGAAGATGGAATCTATAAGGAAATGGTTCTACAAGCCCAAGGTATATAAAGCATAAGGAAGTTGTAATATAGTAAACGTCATTTCCATTACTTTTCTATGTTCGACTCTTATGTAGGATGTAATTTAGTATTGTTTGGAATAGTGATATCCTATTTTAGATTTACAATGAAAATATCAGCTACGTTGATGGATATTACTGCCCTTGACTAATGTTAACGTTCTTCATAAAATACTGCCATTTTCGTTAGTTGTAATAAAATGTACCACATATTTATGTACTTTCAGTTTTTGTTTCTTATGATTTTTAGAGTTGGGTTTAATGAATAATTTTTTCAGCTAGACATGGTTGTAATTTTTTACTGTAGTTTATGGCTATTTTCTTGCACATGTATTTTTGTGACTACTATGTATGATCTTAACACTTAGTTCATTTCTGTGCCACTTAATGTTGTCAAAATGTTTGTTAGACAGGCACTGTACTACCCTGATTTTCCTCTTCTATTCAACCCACAGAAAGCCTTCAGTAATGTGTTTACAAAGAGGAGACATGACTATAATTACTTTCATGGTCAATCAGTAATATGGTCAGACCGGTAGACTTCAGTGAGAAAGACTCAATTAAGTAGCTGCATTGTGTTGAATATTTTAAAAGGCTTCATAATTGCTTAATTGAATTATTAATCAAGGTTTTACTTGTATAAGTAACTTTTAAATTTCCTTGCAAGTACCTATAGTTTAATACATAATTTAGTGATTTTGTTTCTCCAGTGAAGCATGTTTGATATGTTAAGTGCCATTCTGAGAAGTTTGTAGATGATATACTACAAAGTTGAAGATGACAAGAATCAAGTTAATTTTGTATGGTCTTCTGAAGTGTGGGATATTACTCTGTGTTTGCATTAATGTGTCTCACGTAAATTGTTAATTTCCCCTCAAGAATTTAAAATTACACCAGTACTGTCATTAGCAGTGTTTTTGTAGACAGTTCCAGGAAAAACATGTTTCTATTGAACTGGTGTTAAATGTGTTATCTGATCATGACGCACCACTTCTAGTTATATATATATATATATATATATATCTACTATAAAAATTTGTGATTTCGTCGTCGTCAATAAATTACGTCATCACAAATGTTTAAAACGCAACCAACCCCCCGAAGGGGTTGGTTGCTTTTTAAAAACTTGACCAGCCCCTCCGAGGAGCTCCGAAAGGAGCGTTCTGCCCTAGTATAAAAAAAATTTGTGATTCCTCGTTGTCTTCAAGAAATGATGTCATCAACAATGTCAACAGATATTTGTTTACTCGGCATTGTTGTGGAGCACAACACAACAATGCCAAGTAAACAAATAATGCTTCACTACCAAGCCAGTCGCATTATCACTGTTCTACAAGCAGCACGTGGCATCGCATCTTCTACTATAAAAATTTGTGATTTCACTTTATAAAAAATATAGAAACAGTCTTGAATGATCATAAATGCAGGAAATTAATCAGACTTAAAAATGAAAACACTGGTAAAGAATTTGTAACTCATGTAAGCAATGAAAACTGGGAGTCAGTTTTAAACAGCCATGATATAGATTCGTTCTTAAACATTTTAAACATTTTTGAAGTACGTTTCCCCACCAAAACTGTGAAAGGGATATATGAAAATAGTGGATTATTAAAGGCATCGTAACATCTTGTAAACATGAATGAGATCTTTACCAAAACTGTCAACCTAGAAACAACCAAGTAATGAAAATTCACATCAGGAAACATTGCAAGATTCTTACTCAAGTCATTAAATAGGCCAAACATATACATTACAATAAACAGATACTAGAACTGAATAATAAAATGAAAGCAGTCTGGAAAACAGTGAAAAAGGAAGTAGGGAAATATTCTACAGGAGAAGTGATCCCATTAATAAAGCTAAATGATAGTGCAATAAAAAATCTTAAACTCTTAGCACATCTTTTCAGTATGCATATCAAACTACAGACCAATGACATTACTAACACCATTCTCTGAAATATTTGAGAAAGTGTGCAGTATAGTGACTGGCTATGGACTGGACGACCGGGATTTGATCCCCATCGGGGGCAGAGGATTTTTCCTCTAGCCTCTACATCCAGACCAATTCTGGGTCCCACCCAGCCTCCTATCCAATGGGTACTGGATCCTCTGATTACTCGCCCCCATCTAGTGTCGAGGTCAAGAATAAGTAGGAGTTATACCTCCTCTCCCCCAAGCACCTACATGGCATATAGTGGGACAGCTTTACTTTACATGTATAAGAGAGCAAGAGACTTTTTTAAATTCAAACAATGTTTTTGCAAGTGAACAGTTTGGATGTAGGAAAAGTCTGTGAACTGATAAAGCCTTTTTCAATTTTACAGATGAAATCCTAAGTGCTCCTAACAATAATAATATGCATGTTAGTGGAATATCTTGTGATCTTTCTAAAGCATTAATTGTGTAAATCATGAATTATTGCTGTCAAGACTTCATTTTTATGGAATTTGAAATAAAGCTAGTCAGTGGTTTAAATCGTAACTTCATGACAGAAGGCAACAAGTAGAAGTAAAGTTACCAGATTTTAATAATAGGACCTCCTCACATTGGGGCATTATAAAGCATGGAGTTCCTCTATAGATTCATTACTTGGTCCTCTGTTTTTCCTCGGAAATATCAGTGATTTACCACCAACTATTAACTATCGGTCGGAATTCATACTTTTTGCGGATGATACTAATATTATTATTTTACATCCAGAAATTAACTATTTCCAAATCTGCATGAATGATATCTTTGCTAGATTGACCATAATTATTAAAGCCAATAAATTCCCATTAAATTTTGTACTACCAACAAAATTTATGTTAATGTAGTATAGGAAATGAGGATAAAACAATTAAAGAAGTAGAAACAACTGAATTTCTTGGCCTACAAAGTGACAATAACTTAGCTGAAAAACACATATTCAATACATTATCCTTAAACTAAGCTCAACATACTTTGCTAGGGGGACTGTCACATCACTCATAAAAACAGAAACTTTAAAATTAGTCTACTTTGCATACTTCCATTTCATCATGTTATACGGAATTATTTTCTAGATATCCGCAATATAAGCACAAGATACAGATTGCCAAACACTTACCCCAGTAAATATCAAAAAGGAGTTCACTGTACTAGAATTAAACTATTCAAAATCTCCCACTCCCCACCACTATAAAAAGTCTTATTCATGATATAAAGAAGTTTGAGCCAGCACTAAAAGAGTATCTTCTATAATTTGTCTTACTCCTTATACTCCATAAAAGAATTTACCTCCAATGAAAATTCTCTGATATTATAAATAGTAGTGATTCTTTCTTATGTAATTGTTTTTTCAACTAAATCACTGGCATAACTGTAATTTATAAATGTATTAGAAACAATTATTTTATTTGTAAACCACATCCTTGGCTTCGGTCTCCCGCCGTAGCCGCGTGGTCTGAGGCATCATGCTTCGGACCAGCGATACGGAATGCTTGCTGGTTAGAGTCTCGGGGGAGAAGAAATTTTCTCATGAGCTTTCGACCAGTGTATGGGACCAGTGCCAACCCAGCATCGTGAGGAAATTGGGAAGCTACAATGAGTAGCGTAATCTGGTCATGAAAACTAGCAATGGCTTGGGGTTCGTTGTGCTGACCACATGTCACCCTATATCTAGTTGGATGATCGTTCACCTCTGCTTAGGCATGTGAACGTGAGGCCAGCAGTCAAGCTAGTCGGCTTGGCTCTCTGGAGCTGTTACGCTACGGATTTAATTTTAATCCTTGGCTTCGACCTATGAAGGATCTATGGAATATAACTACATTTTATTCCATTCTGTTAGTGGCTCTTAGTTTAATTATCAGACCAGAACATTGTACAAGTTTTCTTAAAAATGCCTGGACAATTTTACAACACTCTGACCTTGTTACTGAGGCTAACATAAAGCATTGTAACATACACTGAATAAGGTTTATAGCCTTATCACAAACATTCTAACTTACCTAATAGAACTGGATACTATACTGTAAAGATATACTAAAGATCCTGCTGGTGCTGCCTGATTAAAATTGCAGGATGCTGTAGTCACTGTGATTAACATGTTACAAAGAAGCTGGAGTCATTTGAAGTTCAGCTATTAACATGTAGTTTTTTGTTTTTTTAAAGAACTCTTCTTCTGTTACTATGTTGGTCTGTTAATATATAATTTCAGAAGTTGAAAGCCACAGATGCCTTTAATTGTTAAGAAACAGCAGAAGTTTCTATCACTGATACTGTTCTACATTAAACAAACTCTGGTTAATATTTCTAAGTGTACATTTGCAAATCACAGAAAGGGGTAAAATCTTACATTATTATGATGTTTATAAGCAAATTCTGTCTATATAAACAGAATTACATCTGAAAAGGACACCATCATTTCAAAGACAATATGAACCCAAAGCAGGAACTTTCTTGGTTGGCATATTAGTAAAACATCTGACTAGGGTATGGAAGATACCTAATATGTATCTCAGCCAGAAACGAGCTGTACTGATTGTTGTTTCTCATTATTTACCTCATTCTACATAGGAAAATGTCATGATAGTACATTGCAATGACACTACCTTGTAATATGTAAGATTTGAGGTTTTCATGGCAGTGAGTTTGAAGATGGCTGTCTTCTGGTTTGTTGCACCATGTAGTCTGGTAGAATTTTACCAACGTTTTAGAGGTCCATGCTGCCTCCGTCATCAGGATGATGCAGTGCTGCAAAACTGAGTATATAAGAAACCTAAACATATTGCATAAAGAATGTCCAAATTAAATTTATTTTCTTGCTATTTATTTTGAATTAATGTTATTTTCATTTGAACAGACTGTTTATAATGCTTTGCAGATGCATTGATGATGGTGATGATGATGATCGTCATCAACATATTTATTGTAACATACTAATGTCAGACACATTTAGGTCTAATTGTGCAAATAGTTGATGTGGGAAATGTTTCTTCTTTACATTAAAAGTTGATCAGT